AGTAAGGTTGTCAGGCATGAAACTGTGTTTTCTAATTTGTAGTTTGAACACTGTAAGGGCTACTTTTCTAATTCCACCTCTGTTTCTTACCTTAAAGACACTTACCATTCCGAGCCAAGATAACTGACAGGTACTCTTCATAGAAAGAGCTCACACACAGCAGTAAGCTGGGGGTTCCTGTGGTTCGGAAGTTGAGTGTGATCATTTCTCTGGAAAGTGTCACATCTCCATGTGATAAAGCTGCAAAGGAGCTGGAGTTCTTACTTAAGGTGTAATTGTAATGTTCTTGAAAACTGTAGACCACTGAGGAGCCAATTCCAAAATACGCAGAAATCTCTAGAATGACACACATTTTTATTATGTTAGCAACATGGAACTGTAGGGTCTTTCTTCAGCTCTGTAGGAAAAACACTAGACTGTGAGTCAAAATCAGTGGTTCAAGCTCACTAGTTGCTCTGAGGAAGAAAGATGAGGTTTTCTGCTCCTGCGCAGATTTATATAGCCTCAGAAACCCTATGAGTCAGAAGTGACTTGATGGCACTTGGCAACAAACAACAACAGCCTCCATGTGCCCATAAACTAGAATAGCACTTAATGGGTTATACTTATTGCCTTCCAGATACATCATCTTTGGTTTACATAAAATAAAATTACAGAATAAGTATAGCATTTCTAGGTGACTACCCTAGTGATCCTTTGGGAAATCCAGAGAGGACAATGTATTAAGCAGAGATATCCAAAGGCTTCTCAAAAACAGAATCATATCTCCTTCTAAATGAGTGATTCTGGGACAGAAATAATTCCATTTCAAATAAATACATAGAATCATCGTATCTTTTCTTTAGAACATCAACAGACAGACTGTTCTTCCATCTTGTCATGATACCTCAATTGCTCCAGGGTCAGACCTATGGTTGGAGCAAGAAGGACAAAGTGTTCACCCACATTGTTTATCATCTGCTCCAGGGTCAGACCTACCATTGGAGCAGAAAGGGCCGGCAAATGCAGAGAAGGCACAATCACAAGCAAAACCCCTGCTCTTTTCTCGACATTGCCCTCCATTTTGACATAAGTGTCCATAACTGCTGCAGTGTCCTGGGCACCCTGGCTCCACACCTGGCGTCTTTGTGGCTCTTTCTTCCAGATCCAGGGTCACCCCATTCAACTGCAGAGACCGGATGCAGCCCAGGAAGCCTCTCTGTCGTGTGGCTGTCCCACCTACAAGGAAAACACTGCAAATGGGAGTCTTATTTGGGATTTCTTCACTACATCAAATTGAGGTCTCAAAAAGAATGGCAAAAAAATGATTTCTCATAAGTTATATAAACAAAGTATTATTTTGAAAACATAAATTTTTGCTCAAATACTAAAAGCCATCAAGTAATATGGAATAAAATATAAACGGAAATGATTTATTTTAAATGTTGATCTTGATATTCTGAAAGTATTTCTTCAAAATATTTTTTAAAAGTTTTATATTCCTTTCACTATGAGTAAAATAGTGATCACTGAATCACTTTAAACTTGAAAATTATGAACAATGCAGTGCATTAAAAAGGGTACATGAAAACTTTGGCACTGTAGGATAAAAACTGGACTGCAACATTGGTTTGATCTGCAATGGCAGTTCAAACCCACCAGCTACTCCTTAGAAACTCTGTAAGGATCACCTTAAGTTGGAATTGACTCAATGGCACTTAACTATAAAAGTTTAACATTTTTGCAGTATAGGAATATATACAAGGGGACTTTAAAAGCTTATGGAAAAATGGAATTAAAAAATAATATTACATAAAACAAAATGTGTATGAATTATTGAATGGAAAACTGATTTGCTCTGTAAACTTTCACCCAATTCATAATAAAAGCTTTAAAATAATAATAATATGTTTTTTCTATAAACTTTTTTAAGAACTTGTATAACATATGAATTTCTTATTTAAAAGATCTCTCAATAATAAAATTATAAAAATAATTTTGGAGAGAGAAGCATTTGTTGTTGTTAGGTGCCATAGAGTCGGTACCGACTAGCAGCGACCTTAAGCACAGCAACAAAACACAGCCTGATCCTGGGCCAACCTCACTACTGTTACCACGCTTGAGTCTATCGATGCTGCCACTTGGCCAATCCATCTTGTTGGGAGACTTCTCTTTTGCTCTGACCCTCCATCTTACCAAACATGATATCCTTCTCCTGAGACTGGTCCCTCCTGACAATATGTCAGAAGTATGAGAGACAAAGTTTGGCCACCTTGGCCTCCAAGGAGCACTCTGGCTGCACTTCTTCCAAAACGGATCTATTGATTCTTTTGGCAGCCCATGGTACTTTCAATATTTTCCTCCAACATTGTAAGTCAAAACCATCAACTCTTCTGTAGTCTTCTTTATTCACTGTCCAGCTTTCATAGGCATATGAAATATCATGGTTTGGGTCAGACGCACCCAAGTCCTCAAGCTGGCATCTTTGCTCTTTGACACTTTAAATAGGTCTTGTGCAG